GAGCTCATAGTTAGTTAAGAGACTGTCTTGAGTCTAACAAGGGACTTTTGAAGACTATTAAGACTGTTAAAGACTATGGAACGTTTGAGGTATGAGATTTAAATGAGACCTGATGTGTCATGGTGAATGTTATTATTTAAAGTGATGTGTTTAAGAGATACGATGATAAGAGGTGGAGTTAAGATGCTTTATCTTGTCAACTTGACAGGTTTAGAATCACATGGTAACAAGTAATGAATGCTTCTTTGTATATCTATGGGGGTGTTTCCAGAAAGGTTTAATTAAGGGGAGGAAGCCTACTCAAAATGTGAATGGCTGGGGCCCTGGACTAAAGGGAGAAAACAAGCTACTGCCAGAGCTCATCTCTCTGTGTATATAACTGCAGACACAATATGTTCTATCACCTCATGCCTCTGGCCCCATGAGCCCCCCTCCATTTTGGACTGTACCCTCAAATACCAGCCAAAACAAATCCTGAAGTTGCTTTGTCATAGAGTGTTCTTGGCAATCTTCTTTAAGGGTAACAAGGAAAAGATAATCCAGGGTCCTTCTGTAACCATATGTAGATCATCTCACAGGATGCTTTCTACAGACTACACCCCCATACTTGCTTTAATTATTCCAAGAGATAAAGTGGCTAGTGCCTGACCTGGAGCAGCCCTGGTTGTTGTCCTCCTGAGATATCTATAATTCAATGCCTTCCAAACAACCCTCTTGGGTCAGGCTGTGTAACCCACTAAATCAGTTTATGGGATACTTTACAAACCCCTCTTCAAAAATATGTGAAAACCTAGTTGTGAAATGGTTAATGTGTCTGCATAGAAAAACATAAAAAAAGACTAACTGTTAACTCCATGACTTACAAGGCTATTCCCTTACAAGGTATAGGACTATCAGGATAATTTTCTCTACCCAGAGGACTCCAAAGATATTTCTTTCCCCAACAAGAGGCAAATCCTTGTGAGCATCAAGATTTAAGAATCAGGACATAACAATGGTTCCTAAGCTCCCTGCTTCTCACTCACTCTAGATTAACCACTAGATGACTGGTTCCTCTAACAAAAAAAAAAAAAAAATTCTCCCTCCCTCAGAATCTTTGCACTTGACACTTTCTCCATCCGGAACACTTTAGCATCAAATCTCACATACTGCTTTCCTCTTGTCATGCGGTTTAATTACTCCCCACAAAGCCCTGACTACTCAATTACATTTTTAATTTCATTTATTTGTTTTACATGTATAAATATTTGCCTGCATGTATGCATATGCACGATGCATACACGTACTTGGTACCTGCAGGGGCCAGAAGAGGGCACTGGGTCCCCTGGAACTGGAAATGCAGACAGTTGTGAGCCACTATGTAGATGCCAGGAACAAAACCCAGGTCCTTTCCAAGAGCAGCAAGTGCTCTTAACCACAGAGCTATCTCATCTCTTCGGTCCTCCAACCATTCAATCTAACACTAGCATCACCTTTAGCTTCCAGTTATTTATGTGCTGTCTCTTCCATCATCCCGATCCTCTGATCCTCCCTTGCTCACTAACTTCTAGAACTCAGTTTAGGAGAAGACTCTGTGATTTTCCACTTGTCAAGTTTATAATGCTGGGATCTCAGCATAAATTCCAATATGGGCATACTCAGGAAAGGAGTTTCCCTCTTCTCTCACTGACAAACCAAGAGGCTTCCGCTTACTGGTAAAAAGGTCCAGTCTCTTTGTAGTTCCCACCCCAGTGCTCAAAAAGCTGCTCTGCTCAGGGCACTCACTAGGTTATGCTGGCAGTGGAGCCAAGGCCAACTAGCCAAGGAGTCAAGGAACTATGTTACTAGCTAGGGCAGAAAAGCCCAGCTCAACTAAGAGGGTTCAACCACACCAGGTCCCCCTAAGAGAATGCATGAGGACTACATTGGCATCCTGAGGTAGGGGTGTGTGATAGTTAATATTGATTGTCAGTTCGACAGGATATAACCATGATCTATAATCTATAGGAAACAAGATCTATAATCATGTAGGAGACAAAACTATGCTTGTCTGCAAGGAGTTTCTAAACTGGATTAGTTTCCGTAGTTAAGATCCATCCTAATTGTAGGCAGTACCATTCTGTGGGCTGGGGACCAAATAAATAGGAGGAGGCAAGCCGAGCATCGGCATCCTCCCCTCCCTCCCCCCCCCCCCCCCCGTCTCTGCTTCCCAACTATGGATGCAGTGTGACTGGTGGCCTTATGCTCTTGCTGCCATGCTTTAAGAAGGAAGAGAGGGTTTGTTTTAGCTCATAGTTTGAGGGTAACCCTAAGCTGTTCTTGGAACATATTTTTTCACAGCAAGGAGAGAGGCAATATTACAAGGAGCTTCAAGTAGGATAGCTGAGGGGCAGGCTTCCTGTGGGACAACAAAAGGTAAGGGACAGCTCTGGAGAAGAGAAGCAGCGGCCACTAAAACTGAAGAGTCTCGGCCCAGAGACACCATATCCACTCAGATCCCACCCAGCTCTCTGCCTGACACAAGCTGCTCCCCCCCCTCCCTGTACTGTTTCATTTCCTCACAGAAAATTTTGTTTTGGTTTGATAGTTGCTGCTAGGTCTCTGGGAAGATTCTGAGTTTTGTTTCTCCTCTTGTTTCTAGGATACCTGAGCTGGCTCTTAGAGCAAGAGCTGCAGGAACAAGTGTGGGGGCTGAGTGTGGTGCTTGGCAAAGGAGTGAGGAGAGCCTGCCCTCGGGCACACAGATGTTTGTGGTTCCCAAGTGCCCTAGGAGCACAACAGTGAGCACCACCACAGAGAAGAACCAAAGCTCAAACAGCCGTCTGCAGAGAGAGAAACCAAAATTCTGAGAAACACACAGGTCACAGAACAGCTTGGGAGTTTTGCCCAGGGTTAGCCAAAGCCAAGTATACTCTTGAACTCTCCTGAGACACCATACCCAACCCAGGAGGAGGATTCCCAGGCAGCACACTGGGCTGCAAGAGCCTGTAAAGATAAGCACACACTCCAAACCTCTAGGCCTGGCATCCAGGGGTAGATGGTAGGAGAGGGTGGCAGAGCCCCATACTCCCCAAGGCCTCGACACAGGGCTCAGCACACCAAAGGCAGTACCCCAAGCTTTCCTGCAGACTCTATCTAGCCCTAGCCCCATTTCCAACAAGAACAGACCTGGTTTTCCCTGGCAGGGGCAGGCAGGGAATGAGTGGAATTCCCCTGAGGCAGGCAGCACTAGGCTATTTAGCAGGGCAGGACTTTCATCAAGTCACTTGGGGGAGGGGTGTCCAGTCCTTGCCAGGATAAGCCACTGCAGCAACCATAGGGCCCTGACTATGGACACTAAACACCACAGAACCCCGTAGGAGAGATACCCAATTCAGAACCCAGAGGCAGAAGCCTCCCTGGCACAGACTAATCTGGCCATAAACTCAAATGGCAGGTAGACAGTTTAGAGAAAAAGCAGAAAGTCTGGCCTTTCCTCACTCCATGGCATTGAAGAGTCAGACCTCTGTTTGCAGACTACTTGGACTTAAACCCCAATACAGACATTGGCAATGCGATTTTGAACAAACTGTTTCACCTTGAACAGTTTCCTCCCCTAAACCATGGAGTTGGTAACATACCAACCACAAAGCTCCTATGCTCAAGTGGTCCTCCTGCCTCGGCCTCTCTTACTTACTACCACACAGAAGTGCACTTTACTACATGGAGGTTCTGGTCTAAAGTTGATTGTGGTGATGGCTGCAAAATTCTAGAAAATTAGTAAAATTCATTGATTTGGATCTTTATTTTTCTAGGAATCAAAACTAAGGCCTTGAGAATAGGCATGTGCTCTCTGCCAATGAGCTCTATCCCAGCCCAGAGTTAGACATTTTAAACATCTGGTATCACATCACACTAAAGCCATTAAAAAATTACTAGAAGACAGTACTAAAGATGGTGCTGGGGTGGGCCGATGGTGCAGTGGGTAATGAATCTGGCTATGGATCAGAAGATCGTGCTGGAGCTGGAGAGATGGCCAGCAGTTAGGAGCACTGGCTACTCTTCCAGAGGACCAGGATTTTATTCCTAGCACCCATATGGTAGCTCACAACTGTCTATAATTCCAGTCCCAGGACACCTTATGTCCTTCTCTGGCCTGCATGGGCACAGGGCATGCTCATGGTCTATAGATGGTAAGCAGAACACCCATACACATAAAATAAAAATTTTAAAAAGCTGGTGTTGGGAACCCTGTATAAGAAAAGTGCGTCTACATGTGTGCACGGGTAGGAGTGGTAAGGTGACCAAATATCAATCAGTACAGGGCACAGCAGGCACAGCACTCAATGAAGAGTTTTCACTTAGTCTGCATTTTCTTCACAGAAATGACATCAAAATATTACTTTGACGTATCTTTCAGAAGATCCCAGAAACCTACTGTCCTCAACTGGTTTAGCATAATTATAATTGACACTCTTCTCCCAAGGCTAAAAGATCATCGCAGAAAAGAGGGTGGAAAGATGGTAAGAGCCAGAGGCAGGGGATGACCTCAAGGAAGCTGTTTTCTGGATACAACATGGCAATTGCACATATGAATTGTGGCTGCATTTGCAAGACCTGAGTAAGTTCAAGCCAGGCAAAATCCTAATGTGGGTGAGATAGGGGGCCGAAGTGGTGAGGTGGGCCCAAAGTCCCCTCTTTACTGAGGAGCTGCTAGGGAAGGGAGAGTCCCTTTTCTTTAACCGTGTGACCCCTGGTTGGTTGAACATAGCCAAGGACAGGCCCCACACCCACAAGTAGTTGGACAACACAAATTTGACTTCGTGGGTCTTTAAAAGAGAGACAGGGAGATAGAGGAGACAGAAGGAGAGGGAGATGGAGAAGAAAAGGAGGGGGCACAAAACTGGATGGACAGGAAAGGGAGTGAATATTATCAAAATACATTATATGAAATTCTGAAAGAAATAATACAATGTTACTAAAAATAAAAAAAAAAAATAAAATAAGCTTTCATACAACAAGATCTCTTGAAAATCACTTACCCAGCGGGGTAGGCAACTAAACCTGATCGGGGATCACAAGCCAGTCCTCTGCCTCCAGATACTGTTACTCCCAGCACCTTCTCCAAGGTCACCTGTTAGAGCAAACCAGAGAAGTGACTTGTTATAGACTCATCAGGGCCAAGAGGGAGGTGGTGACAGCACCTACAACACCTCTGCAGCACTGTTCCCCCACAGCCTTATCTTCAGGAAAACAAGCCTGTGACTTCTTCATAGGCAAAGCCCCTTGACTGTATGAGATGCAGTAGTGAGCATCACCTGCATTTAACAGGGCCCACCTGTGGTTGCCATGGGGCAGAAAATGAGGTTTACAACTAAACATCCTCTCAATGCAGGAAGACACCAAATTTAAGCTACAAACTGGGATCTGGGGTCTATGGGATTCACCTGAGGTCATTGACCTTCAAGCCTTTGCAGGCCGTTGTGCTCAACCTACCAGCAGCCAGGAAAATGCTAGGTATCAATTAGTTAACATGGACAGCCTTGATCTATGCATCCCATCACATGCTACCCTCCATCAGAGGACTGCACCTCCCCATGTCTGCCAGTTCGCACAGTAAGAGTCTAGGAGGCCAAAGCAGGGCTTAATGCTGTGTTTTGGGAATCACAGATTCACAGGGTGCTCTGATTATTGTTATTAAGCCACAACTCCCACAGAGATGAAAGGGAAGCCAGTATAAGATGCTGGGAGGGTCTGAGAAGACAGGACACATGAGACATTCACCACCTTCATCAACAGTGTTGATGTTCCACATTGTCTGCAGGCCACAAAACCCCTGCTAGACTAACCCCAGATTAATTCATTCGTCTTTCTGTGGATGAGGTCATGTGAGATCCATACGCCCCTATAACCTCATAATTGTCACTCCATGGCACTCTTTGTCACACAGTTTTTCTGGTCCCACCAGATCCAGTACCCTCCAGGGCTGTTTGTACTTCCTGCATGAGCCTTCCCTCAGGGATGCCCTTGTTCTTCCTTGACTTAGAATGGCCCATGTAAACAGAGTGTGCTCCCCTATGAAAACTCTGCCCTGGAGAGCCTTGGAGGGCCAAGGAGTAGTGCAAACCAGAAACATAGGGCAAGGTAGAGTCTCCTGTGACAGGCCAGTTTCTACAGCAAGGAATAGTTTTTGGATGTACCTTTTTTTTACTGGTCTAAAGAGGGAAGAGCTGAAAGGATTTCTAGAGGTCCTGTTGAGACTCTTACCTACAGACGTCCTCTGACCACACACATTCACTGTGGCACATACAAGCATGTACACACAATTAATAAACATAACAACAAAACTAAACTCTTAACTCAAAGGGCATTTTATTTTGAATTAGACGGAAAGGAAATGCCCTGTGGTCAATAAAGACTAAAATAAGCCTTCCAAGGCAGTATTGTTAAAACCTATGGTCCAGTGCAGTCCCGTACAAGAGGCTGGGTTCAATCCCCAGCAACTGAAAATCAAACAAAACAGGAAAAGCAAAAACAAAACACTGAAAGAATTCAGACGTATAATTACACATCTGTAATCTCAACACTTGGGAAGCTGAGACTTGAGGATTCCTATTTGACTTTGGAGTCAGCCTGAGCTATAGAGTGAGTTCTAGGCCAGACTGGGCTAATGCTCTATCTCAAAAAACAAAACATACAAACAAACAAAAAACAGCCAAACAAAATTTTCTCACAGAGTTCTCTAAGAGCCATTTAGGCTTCTTAGGTATATGAGCTAAGAATTCCAACACGTGTTTTCTCAACTGTAGTGGTTTAGTTACAGTGCATCAGTCCAAGCACCCCACTGTTCACTTATCCACGGGCCCAGCAGAGGCACTAAACCCAACAAGGCATATGCCAACGTTAGCCTGCTTATGCTAGACTTCTGGAGAGAAGCGAGTCTGAATTTCTCCTTCCATTCATTCAGTCTCACAACTCACCAGGTACTGACTGCAGAGCACAAACTCGCCCTAGGGAAACTATGCTGTTAGTTATCCCAGACTGGGATCTTGGCACTGTACCCTTAATCATCCCAGAGGAAGGGGTGTTCTGCAACATTTCTATTGTACTTTCTGCCCAAGACAGAGATGAAAGAGAGGAGACCAAAGTCACCATGTCCCACATGGAATGCAGAGGTCATTTAACAAAGTATAGTTACACACCTCCGGTTCTCTTCAAACTAATATAATATGAAGCAAATCCTTTAGATTCAAATGTGTACCATCCCTGACCTCCCTATGGTTCAGTGTTGGTCCCAAAGAATAAGATCAAGCCTGCTGGTTCTCAGCTGCCCTGCCCTCTCATAGGAATGTGGGTAGGTGTTCTGTGGGTAGAGAATCCAGTCCCATGAAGAATCTTGAAACTAGTTTGTCATTTTCAATAAGATAAAGTAGAGAGATTCAATTTATGCACACCCTAAAGACCAGTTTTCACAGTTTAAAAAAAAATAATCCCATTTTATAGTATGACCCATTCATAGTAAGAAACATGTTTTATATAGTGACCCAGTATGTACATACATGTATGTGTGTAGGTAGACAAAACTGAAGTACAATTTTCATAAAACAATGTTTAGTTACAACATATGCTTTAATATACTCTAGTGTATTCCTTTTAATTCTGATCATGTCCACTTTATCAAGTCCATGACCTACAAACAGGCTGGAAAATTAAGTTTGGGAAGCCTACCACACACTACTTCTTCCTGCCAGGCCAGGGACCAGGCTAACCACTGGGATCATTACGTTTTGTCACTTTCCTCTCAGGGCTCTGCACAAAGGAGCACACTTCCTGGCTAAGAATCCCACAAGCAGGAGTTTGCCTGAGCTAAAATCTTGGCTCATTTTCAAAGGGTTTCCGGGTTTGGGTTTTTTCTGGCATTCTAAAGTAGTCATCTAAGGGAGGGGAAGCAGTTTCCTTTGGCTCTCTGAAGGGAGGAGCAGAGGAAAACATTCGGGGGCATCAGCTGGTTTTTATTTTATGTTCTTAACTCAAACCAGCTTCCTGTTTGTAGGGAGGTTTGGAGCTAATCTCCTCTCTCTCAAAGAATCTGAGAGTCCTAAGCTCTTTTGAAGCCTGCAGTGGCTAGGTTCCCTCTGCAATACTTCAACACAAAGGATTTAGCAAAATGACTCTCCCCCACTATAACGTTTTTTCCCCTCACCTCTCTTCAAAAATGTAGCAGAGCTTCCCCTGCTCTACAGAGTGGAGGTAAGCCTGGACACCAAGGTTAAGTGTGCGGGAGTGCGGCAGCTCACCAACAAGGATGTACACTGCTTTTCCCACAGCACCAGGAGTCTTGGCCTCTCAATGGTGGCAGTACTTTATTATGGCGATCAGTCTAGGATTCTCCCCCATTCTCAAGGACCCTGCACTATTTACCAGTGCACCAACGAGTTCCGTGACTATCATCTTTCAGTCGAATATCACTGTAACTCCCAAATGTTCTCCCAGCTTCAGGCCTTGCCTACTAAAATCTTTACTCAACACGGCAGGCCACACTGATTCTTTTAAACATAAATGAGATCATGTCGTTATTCAAATCCTTCCAATGGTTCCCATCTCCCTTAAAGTTCAAATTCAAACACTTGACTTAAACTTAGAAAGACCTAAATCACCCAGCCTCTGGCTATTTCTCTGAGATCACTTCCTATGCTCTCTCTTTGCTCCCTCTACCCCAGTCACCTCAGCCTCCACAAGCATCTTAAGCAGACTCTAATGCACTCCTTCACATCTGCTATTCCTTGGAGTTAACAGTTCTTCCTTCAGCTATCCTCACAGTGAATCTACTCAGGCTTTTGCTCAGAGGTTGTCTTCTCAGAGAGAGCTTTGCAGAATTCCCTGTCATCACTCTGGCCTTTCCTAAGCTTGACTTTTCCTGAGAACATACACAGCCAGGTCTGGCCAGGTGCTTCCTCATCCCACAGGAGCCCTCAAGGACAGGGTTTAGATTCTCATCACTTATTTATGTGTCCTAAGCACTTAAAAAAAGCTAACTTATTTTTATGTGTACCAGTGTGTTTGCATGCATGCATGTATATGCACAACATGTATGCCTAGTGCCTGAGGAGGTCAGAGGAGGGTGTCAGATCCTTGGAATCGGAGTTATAGATAACTGTGAGCCTGCTATGTGGGTACTGGGAACTGAACCTAAGTCCTCTACAAGAACAGCAAGTATTCTTAACCACTTAGTCATTTCTCCATCCCCATCTGCAACTCTAAACCACATCTCCCACACAAGAGGCACTCCATGGTGAACCTACTACTATTGTACTGCCAGACTGCAGAGTATCAAGGTGCCTGCTATATTCACATCTCTCTACCTGTCTATTAAGAGTAACTCTCAGACCTCGTAAGAGACATTTCTTTGTGCAATGGATAGTCACTAACTCAGAACTAGCCAGGTAGTGGTGATACATACCTTTAATCCCAGCAAGAGGCAGAGACAAATGGCTCTCTGGGAGTTCGAAGCCAACCTGCTCTAGAAAGAGAGTTCCAGGATAGTCAGGGCAACGTAGTAAGATCCTAAAGAGAGAGACAGAGACGGGGGTGGGGGTGGGGGTGGGAGGAGGAAGAGAGAGGAGACTCATACTAGTAAAAGCACAGACAAAACCAGTGGAGTTCTCAGCTACAAATGGGACCCCTAATATCACACACACACACTGGCCAAGAATCAGAAACACCCAGAAAAGAGGTACAAAGGCTGGGGAGGATCAGAGCAAAACAGTGCTTTCTGAACATGGCGGGACCGCTGTGCATATGAACTCATGGCAGCTGTGGTTGCCTGTATAAGACTGCAAAGATCAAGCCAGTCAACATTCTAGCATGTGTGAGGAGGGAGCTATTGACAGTTAATGGCTTCTGTGGGAGGGAAAGTCAGAGTTGTGGGGTTTTTGGTTTTGTTTGTTGTCCCTGTTGAGACAGGGTCTCTTTACAAAGTCTTGACTATCCTGGAACTTACAATGTAGATCAGGCTAGCCTCACACTTAGAAATGCCTGCCTCTGCCTCCTGAGAATCGGTTTTCTTTAAGGGAAGTTCAGCACCTTTCAGTGGATGGCCCCATACCCGCCAGTATGTGGGCAGTACAAAGATGA